CTAGACTGGTTTAGATTGTACCTTTCTAACAGAAGTTACAGTGTCTGTATAAACCAAATCATGTCAGATTCTACCCACCTGTTCTGTGGGGTACCCCAAGGCTCTGTTTTGAGTCCACTGTTGTTTCTGCTGTACATACACCCTCTTGGACATATACTTGACTATTTTCATAATGTCTCTTATCACCTATATGCAGATGACATTCAGCTGTACTGCTCCTTTAAGGATTCTGAGTTCTATAAACTGTATGAACTACTAGTGTCTATCAGCGATCACCAGCTGGCTAGAAGATAACTTCCTGCAGTTAAACTCTGAAGACTGAATGTCTGATCATTGCCCCTGAGAGCATGGTTCCCCTGATTAGTCTAAAACTTGGTCATTTATCCTCTGGCGTCAAGACAAACTTAAGAAATTTGGGTGTTATTTTTGACCAATCAATGTCTCTTGAAGGTCACTCAAAAACTTTGGTCCAAAACTGTTTTTATCATTTAAGAAATCTCTCCAAACTGTGAAGGTTTGTGAACTTGGAATGGTTCTCCATGCCTTTATCTTCTCCCGTCTAGATTACTGTAACACACTCTTCACATGTTTTAACAAAAAAAAGCCCTTGACTGCCTTCAGTTGGTCCAGAACTCTGCAGCGAGGCTCCTAACTGGAGCAAACAGAAGAGCACACATCACTCCTATTCTGATGTCTCTGCGCTGGTTACCCGTTAACTTTAAAATCCTGATTATAACTATCAATACTCTACATGCTCAAGCTCCTCCCTATATTACTGATCTGTTAAAGCCTTATGCTCCAACCCGAGCCCTCAGGTCCACACACCAGAACCTTTTAGAAGTTCTAAAGACCAGATATAAATGTCGAGGTGATCGCTCCTGCCAGACTGTTGCATCTCAACTCTGGAATGATCTTCCTTTATTCTTACACAACATTGACAGTCTGGACACTTTTAAAAAAACAGCTAAAGACCCTTTTTACATCTTTGGTGTGTTCTTGCTGTGTTGAAATTCTACTTCCATCTTTTAGTTCTTTTTAAAACACAGAAAGGTTTTATTTACCTGCAACGTTTCGTTTGCGGCTGCAAACTTCGTCAGCCTCAGTTCAGGTTTTCTTTTAGTTTCCTTCCTTGTTCCTTCCCCACCGGTTTATTAGTTCTCCCTTTCTCCTCAGATCATTAGTTATTTATCTGGTTCTCCTAGTCTTTAGGTTTTGGTTATTATTCATAGGTCATGTTTTATTTCCTCTCCTCAGCTTAGATTCCTCTCCCTAATTAGGATATTGATTTCACCAGGTTTCCTCGGCTTCCCTCTCCTCACGCACCTGCAGCTCATCTCCCAATCATCCTGCCCCTGTGTACAAAACCCTGTCTGCGTCCCAATATGTTGTCGGTCCATTGTTTGTGTCAGCGTTGTCTCGTTTCACTCTCCTGGTATTTGGATGTCTCTAGGTTTTGCCCTTTAACCGAGCTCTTCGTCTCTCGGTCTCTAGGTTTGCGCATTAGGATTTAGGTTTTTGACTACCTGCCCTTTATGGATTTTATTTTTGGACAATTATCCCTAAATAAAGCATTTTCCGTTTTCTACAACTCCTGCCTAGTGTCATCCTTGTTCTGCATCTTGGGTCCTAACCACTTCCTGGCTTACAACGTGACAGAATGAACCGACCTACCCAGGACCCAGCAGACTCTCCAGGTACCTCGACACGGCAGCAGATGTACCGATACGATGGTGACCCGAAAACCTGCTGGACTTTTATACAGGACTGTGCTGGCTGCTTGGACATGAATTCCTCAGAGTTCAATAAAGTATCGTTCATGGTGCTTTGTTTGGGAGATAGAGCCCGGCAGTGGGCTGCCCTCTACTTGAACCTTCACCCATAGAAGAGGTCACTTTTTGGACCTTCGTGAAGGAGCTTCTGGTGACATCAACACGCGACCACCTACCATATGCATTTACGCACCTCTGATTGGCCGAACCTCCACACCTCCACCTGGTCCCGACAGCGCTACCTCATTATCACCGGTGGACTGTCACTCTTCCTCCTCTGCAGCAACCGGCGCCATCTCTGCACCTCTGATGGGCCGAGCCACCTCACTTTCACCTGGTCCCGACAGCGCTGCTTTCTCATCCCTGGTGGGCTGTCATTCCTTCCCGTCCTCCATTTCAGCCGGCGTCATCTCCGCACATCTGATGAGCCGAACCTCCCCACATCGACACCACCACATCCGTCGTCAGAGGTCTCCTGAGGTCAGAGCAGCACCGACAGTTCAGGAGTTTCTTGCTCTAACACCTCTGCCCGAGCTCCACCCGCCATCATCACCAGCTCAGCCCGATCTCTTCCTCATCCCAGAGATCCGAGCTGGACAGCCTGTCCAAGAGGCTCCTTCCCCAGCCCAGCCGGTCCGAGAGTCCTCGTCTGCGCCTGCAGAGTCCCAGTCTGTGCCTGCAGAGACTCCGTCCCCTCAGCCTGCAGAGACTTCGCTTCAGCCTCCCGAGTCCCCTCTTCCGCCTGCTGTATCTCCGTCCCTTCCTCCTCCATCAGAGTCCCTGTCTTCTGAGTCCCCATCTCATCCTCGTCCTCCTCCAGTGTCCCCACTGCATCCTCCAGAGTCCACACTTTGTCCTTTTCCAGAGTCCCTTCATCCTCCTCCAGAGTCTTCAGGGTCCCCTCACCCTCCTCCAGTGTCGTTGTCCCCTCACCCTCCTCCAGTGTCATTGTCCCTTCATCCTACTCCAGTGTCTTCGTTCCCTCATCCTCCTCCTGAGTCTTCGTCCCCTCAGCCTCCTGAGTCTCCTGCATCCTGGCTCTTGGTTTCCCATCGCCAGCCTCCCAGACTCCCCTGGTCCCCTTGTTTTTGGTCTTGTGTTTGTCTTGTGTGCATCTGGTATCCGCCCCTTGGGGGGGGGGGGGGGGGGGGGGGGTACTGTCATGTTCTGTGTCCTGCGTCCCCCCCCCCCCCCCCCCCCATGTGTTCTCCAACCCTCTCTAGGTTCCCCTTAAGCTTGGTTTATGCTTGATGCATTTACTTTCCGCTTGGTGATGCGGCTCGCGGATGGAACGCGCTTCCAGGGAGTGGCCTGGGGTAGCACATGCCACCCTTGGAATCTGATTGGCCACCCCAGGTGCCACCACACTTATTTACCTTTGAATAGGCTTTTCATTGTCCACAAAAGGCTTGGGGGTAAAACAAAAAAGCATAACCATTGGTGCCACCCATGCACAAAGTTGTGCCTCACCTGGGCCAAACCATTTTAAAAGATCTGGACACGCCACTGCTTCGTCTCTCGGTCTCCGCATTAGGATTTTTGGATTTAGGTTTTTGTAGTAGCCCCCCTCCCTCCTTTTCTTTCTTTCTTATTCTTTTCCCTTTCATGGTTGGCTGTGTGGGGTTTGTTCTTGGGGTAAAACCTTCGACATATAAATATTGGACAATGGGTTTCCATGGGCTCCAATAACACATTTTTGAGGGTAAATGGGAGGTGGCCACCACCGCCATTTTGACCGTGTCACAGGTTCCGTCAAGCCCAGACAATTCCACAAAAGGGAAGAGAGGTGGAGCTGAGGGTGGGGCTGTAAGGCTGGGATCAACTGACGACACCCGGTCGAACTAGCTACAAGCTAACCTGAAGCTAACCCAAAGCTAACGCGGAGGTGGAAGCTAAGCTAACGGAGGTAGCAACCTAGCTACAACCGGAGTTAACTGTGCACAACACCAGAGCTTCTGAGTCAGAGATACGCCGGGCTGACCGCTGGGTAAAACCGGGTGGAACACAGAGGTCTCCCGAGCAGTGGCGGCTGGCCAGTAGAGGGCGATAGGGCGCCGTCCTCCCAGTTTTTCCGTGTTTTTAATTTTTATTTAAAAAAAAAATAAATAAAATTAACAATAATCACATATTCTAAGTTAATTGTGTGTTTTGTAACAAAAATAAATCATATATATATATATCTATATTGATCTCTGCCGGTCTCTGCCAATCTCTGCCGAGCGGTGGAGGCTGTGTGCTGTTTTTCAATCGCCCAAACAGGACGAGACCAGCTGTCCAATTGCTGACAAGAATATCAAAGGGTAGGAATGGGAATGTATCCAATCAGCGTCGACGTTGTTTCAGAACGTTTCAGAAGCATGATGGTTGATGGAGCTACCGCCAAAGGATTCGTTGGTGTTCGGTAGAACTCGGCAGAGTCGTTTTTGGTCATGACGCAGATGTAACATGGACGCCGCCGGTGACTACAACCAGCATGGATACCGGATCTCAGCAGCCACTGAATTCAGTTCGGTCTCTTCTCCAGTATCTGTTCGAGAGGAGAACTATGGTGGAAAAACTTAATGTCAAAGAGCTTGGACCAGATCAGCCCGACGTAAAGATAAGCCAGCAGGAGAAGGAGAGAGGTAAACTGTACACACTAGGCTTCTCCTGAAATTGGTACACCAGGAAGGCTTGGCTAGCTGGATGAAATCACGCTAATGCGTTATTTTGCTTTCCGTGTTTGTTATTCAAAACGGCTGGGACAGATAAGGCATGGATGAGTCAGGAGTTACAGACATGAAACATTTTTCTGAGAAGGTGAAGAAACACGAGTCACCCCGGGCACACATGGACAACAACACGGTGAAGCTAGCCGTGCTAGGCAGCAGAGCTAACGTTGCCATGCAGGGAACAACAGCAGCTGGGTGCAGAGGTAAGCTGTACATTACATTTCTGTGAACAAGACAATCAGAATCAGAAATCCTTGGTTGTCCCACAAACCGGGACATTTGTTTAATAACATGTTTAATGTGCAATAACTGTAAAAACTAATTTCAACACACATACTTATTATACATATTTAATCACGTAAATGTGTATTTCATGTAAATTTGTACATACATCAATCTGATTCCATTTTACTTGTTACACTTCTGCTGCAGCAAACAAATTTCCCAGCTTTTGGGACAATTAAACATTTCTGATTCTCAATTAGATGTTTTTACCTCAAATGTAAAAACATCTGATTGAGAATCTGAAATGTTTTATTGTCCCAAAAACTGGGAAATATGACATTTGTAAGAGGATACTGATGACATTATTTCCTATGAAAGTGTTTCCTATGTACTTATCTGTTGTTTTTTATTTATCATATGACAGGTTTGTGACACCATCCTGAGCCATGCAAAAGAAGATTCTTGTCACCACAGCCGAATCAGAAAGGTGCTTTTCTACTTTAAAGAGGATTAAGACTTTCCTTGAGGAACACCATGACACAGGATGGGCTGAATGCTCTTGCCATGCTCTCCATGGAAAAAAAAGCTTGTCACAAACATTCCTGACTTCAATAAAAAGCTAATCGAGAGCTTTGCCACTCAGAAGGACAGAAGGGCAACATTTCTGTACAAATGAGGTAACACACACACACACACACACAAATGCATCCACTTGATCTTTGTATAAAGTTGACCTTGGCACAACACTCCAGAAATATTTAACAGTGTAAAGTTCTGGCATTTTGTCTAAGTGGTGTTTACTACCATTACTGTAACAGTGACCTGCTCATAATTGTTGGTGTTCACTCAAATGTTGAAATTAAACAAAATGTTTTTGTTACTTGCCTCTTGCATTGCCTATTTACCATTTATGGTCGTGTTATTTTATGTGCAATTTAATGCAGTATTTTTCTACCTTGGTCTGAAAGGCAGCGTGCCAATAGTCAGACACACCTGGATTAATCAGTTTGTCCAATGATGTGAGACAGGAAATAAAAGAGCTGTGCTTAATTCAGGAAATAGTGAACTTGTGCACAAAGCTCAGAAAGCACAAGTTTAAAAATAAAAAAATAGCACAGCCCCACCAAAAATATTTTTCACCAGCCGCCACTGCTCCCGAGAGCTCCACAAGCCGGCAGCCGCACAGCAGACAAGCGTCGCTGCGATCTGAGATGCGCAGAGCTGCCGCTGGGGAGAACCGGGTGGAAAGGTTTCCACCCCAGAGCTCCACAAGCCGGTAGCCCGCGCAGCAGACAGAAGCCGCGATCAGACAGAGATGCACTGAGCTGCAGAGGTCTCCCGAGAGCTCCACCAACATGTTATATTTCAACCCATTTTCTAAAGTGCAGCTTTATGTTAAATGCACTGGGTTTTACCCTATTACATTTAAATTTCATGGTTAAACAGCCCGTTAAAATCTAAGCTCAGCTCGGCAGTGACCTAAAATACATAAATATAATTTTACTTACCGAAAAAAAAAGAAGTGGAGACTCCTTGGACGCTCTATTAGTGCAATTACTGCCACAGCAAGTCATTTTGTCCCACAATTGCACAAATAATATCCAACAAAGAATACATAAATGCTACAACTAATGGTCTAAGTTGAGAGACTGAAAATGACCGAACAGTTTTCAGGCCAGACCGAGGCTCTACTGAGGCCTTTCATTAGTTATACAGAATTTTAGGCTTTTAATACACTTAAACAGAAGAGTGAGAAAAAAATTCACCCCCCTCAGAGTTGTCATGAGTGTAAACTAGATAATTTAAACCAAAGACATGTTTTGGTACCAGGCTGTAAACATGTTTATTTCTGCTGTGAAATTGGTATTTTTAACATGGGAGTCAATGAGGATTTGCTCGCTTCTGACACCAGCCCCCAGCGGATGAGGGTGGAACTGCAAATTTTGGTACTTCCGAGTTGGGCTCAATTTTTGAGCCGCATTGTGGGGTAAAACCATGTATGTACAGTCTATGGGTAAAACTTGAGAAAATTCATGTTTTGAAATGTACTTGTCATGCCTGTTTTTCTAAAATAAAAAAGACATGAATAAAACAAAACTGTCATCATCTTTTATTTGTTTAGTGAAATTTTATTACTATTTTTTCTGATAATCATTTTCCGTTTTGAGATAATTATATTTTGATCTATGTTAAGCACGTTGTAACTGTCTGTGATAAGTGCTATTTAAATAAAATTTACTTACTAAAATTCAAAGACTGACATGGATTTAACAGAATGTAATTTTCTGATTTTAAAAAGCTCCGATTTACAAACATCCATGTTTCATAACTCATAGCGCCCTCTGCTGGAGGCTTTTTGCTTTTCTGAACGAGAGTTCAGGTAATGCAACACAATTCTTTTATTCATTAATTTCTGTAACAGAAAACATCACACAGCCTATTAAAGGTTTAATGGTAATTTAAACTTTCTCTTAAGTAAAGATGTTTACCTGCTCTGACCTGTTTAAGCAGTTTGAACTGAATTTATACACACCCAAGTGTGTGACTACCGGGTACTCGAATTCACCTTTTATGACACATTTTAATTCTGAAATAAAATGTGTTTGTCATAAAAGGTTTAAAAAAAAGGTGCAAACAGGTGGAGGGTGCTATTAAAATAACACTGAACAAAACTAAGGCTTATTTAAAAGTCTTAACAAAAAGGTTAACATTAAAAGATTAGGGCACCTGGTTAAAACTGATTTAAAGTTTCACCATAACAAAAAGGTGTTTAAAAGCACGAAGCTGATAGTGTCTAAAAAACAAAGTTAACCTTAAAATACCAATTACAAAGACCATTAAGGTCATCAGTCAACTATGTTGACATATAAGAGGGAATAACCTCACAAGACCCATCTGGATCATCTGAATTTTTAGTTAAAATTCATCCAATACGACGCCTGGAGGACAGCAGGACCCCTGCACTGCTGCCTCCTAGACTGTTGATGGCACAACCTTCTATCCCAGGTGTGGGCCATTGGATGGATTCAGCTCATCAGCAGCCTAGAGAAGAGGAGGAGGAAGGGCGGAGTCTAGGCTGATCCCAGGAGGCTGGGTGATCCTGGCTCCTGGAGCTGAAGAGGCTGGTGGCCATAACATGAAGGCATTTCTCTCAAATTATAATTTTTATTTCCTGTATGCAGATGTAAACGAAACCCATCATTTATACTAAAAACACCGGAGTGAAATCCAGTGACCAATTATAGATATGTAGAACCAACATTTAAGTCGAATAAAAACAGAAAAGTATTTTTTCATGTGTGTATATACAAGTTTATTATAAGAAAATATCGACACTACTAACAACTATATACAGTCTGTGTGAAAACAGGTAGGCTGGCATGTGGGATGCTTTCGTCTCACTTCTTCGACAACTTGACTTGTTTATTCTTGGGAGGCGCCCACTTCAAACACATGGTGTCCACTGTCAACAAAAAGAGACAAGCACCTTAAAAAGTCCCCAGGAAGTTCAAACAACAGGCTTCGCTAAGCCGAGTGTTTCCTACATATCCTCAGATGTAGGAATTACAACAGAACTACAGCCAAAGGGTAACTGTTCACCTGGAGATTAAATAAGAATTACGTACAGAAAATTAATAATTCTTAAAAGTTATAAAATACTTTAACTGATGAAAATAAAGCAAAAAAGACATTTGTTATGAATGTCCACTGATTGGTTAAACCTTGGGGACAAGAACTGGACATGAAAGATAAAAATACAAAACTCATGATCAGGTCCTTCTCTAGTTTCCTTCCAAGCAGCCAAACATTCCTGTGAGCCTTAAAGGGTCCAGATCATCGGCCCTCCAGACTTTCTGTAGCACTTCCAGAGTTTTTCTCTAGCTGCTTTCATCATTTATCAACATCTCTTGTGAATGATTGTTTTCAGAAGATTGCCCAGCAGAGACCTGTAACCTGAGCTGTGTGTCTCCCAGCATCACAGAGAACAGGAAGTGGCGTTTCCTCAGAGCGAAGGGGGGCTCCACCTACCTGTGATGGGTGGTTTCTTGTACTGGGCGCTCTTCAGGTGCTCCTCCACCAGTTTGGGCGTCACACAGATGACATGCTGGCCCTTCCAGTATTTCACCATGTTGAGAGACTGCAGAGTACTGATGATGTCACTCTGAGTGATGCTGGTCATCTGGCTGAAAAACAGGATCAGTGCTGGTGACATCAGCAGTGAGTTCTGGTGAGGATTTCATGAGAAGATTCAGCAGGTGATGAAGGATGCATCTCAGCCTGATTTGGTGCATCTTTAATATTTTTAAATATTTTTATTAACGTTTCAATCTAAGGATAAAACACGGACGACTATCTGACTCTTCAAAGCACATTTCATACTTTGTGACTGAAACTAGTTTTTAATTTTTTTTATTTACACATTTTAATGGTTGAAGTTGTTTGGTTATTAGTGAACTCTGATCGTTGACGCCAGTTAGTGAATGAAAGCAGTCGTGATCCCCTACAGCAGACGACACTGTTTCTGCTGTTCTCTGCGTGCTCACCTGAGATCTTTGATGGACAGCGTTCCTCTGAAGTCCCTCAGGATCTCCAGCAGAACCCAGGACCAGTAACTTCTGTAGCTCAGCTTCCCCAGATCAGACAAAGGCTTCTCAGGAGAGCCGACGGTGTTCTCCAGCTTCGAGAGCTCATAACCTACACACAGCGGCAAAACACACAATACTGTTTACTCCACCGGTTATTTTCTCAATAATCCAGAGAAGAGTCCAATCATGAAATCTGTCATTTAGCCCAAGATAACTAAAATGTTTTATGAACATAAAAAAGAAAACATCTTTCCAAACGTTTAGGAAGAAATTGAGCTGATTAAATATGAAAACTCAGTTTGTCTCAACAAAATCACATTTCAGCTCTGATTTACGTTTATGTATGTGAGATGGAGCCAAGGCAGTACCCACTGGCACCAACAATGAACTATTGGAGGTAAGAACACCAGTCAGAGGTGATGGTGTAGCAAACCATCAAATAAGATCACAAATAAAGCAGATTCTGAATAAAGATTTAAGAAAACAGCCAAAGTTTCTAAAATATATAAATGGGTATGTTTAACTACCAGTAATATTTGTACTATAGTATATAACATGGCAGAGGCCTTCGACCTACTGAAAGCTATGAGGAACTTCCCGTAGCCTCTGCGCTGGTAAGGTGGAAGAGTGAGAATACAGGCCACGTTATTCCCATCTGGAGACTCTTTTTCCTGCAAAAGAAAAACTAAACGTTCATTTCTAGCTTCACCCTACAATTTATAATATTAGTCATTTTAAAACATACACTCAACAAAAATATAAACGCAACACCTTTGTTTCTGCTCCCATTTTTCATGAGATGGACTTAAAGATCTAAAATTCATTCCAGATACACAATATCACCATTTCTCTCGAACATTGTTCACAAATCAGTCTAAATGTGTGATAGTGAGCACTTCTGCTTTGCCGAGATAATCCATCCCACCTCACAGGTGTGCCACATCAAGATGCTGATCTGACATCATGAGTAGTGCACAGGTGTACCTTATACTGCCCACAATAAAAGGCCACCCTGGAATGCACAGTTTTTTGCTTTGTTGGGGGTCTGGGGACTCAGAACCAGTCAGTATCTGGTGTGGCCACCATTTAGGGATGGGTACCTTTGACATTTGAATAGATTCAGTACTAATTCCCGGTACCTAGGAATCGATACCGGTACTTAACAGTACCAATTTTAGATACTTTTGAGTGTTTAATATTTTAATTCTCTTTTATAATTAAATATATATTTTTCTCAATTTATAACCATATTTGATAAATATCACAATAAATATCATTCAACTGTTTGTATTTTAACATCGTCCTTATAGTTTTATAAGCTGATAATTAAACTGAAGCAAACATCTTTACTGTGAACTAAATTTATTGTGTATCTTCATTCCTTTTGCCGTCCTTTTTCATTTGATTTTTCCTACTGGGAAGTTAGAATTTCCAAGGACAAAGCGAACGCACCATTAGCTGATAACAATGGTGGCAATGGAAGCTAACATATCAAGCTAACGTTATCTTAAACAGATTATTTAGCTGCTGGAGCAGATTTAAACGATGATGCCTCACACTTAGATCGTTGTCACTGGTTTCATCTTCACCCAATCACCCGCCGCATTTAGTAAAGTGAAGCCAAACTTTTGAGCGCGTTCATGTTCTTCTAGCCGGAGATTCGGAATTCCGAGGAGAAAGCGAACACACCATTAGCGGAACGGAAGCTAACATATCAAGGTAACGTTATCTTAAACATTTTAT